GTCTATTTGTGATTTATAGGATGTGGATGGTTATGAAGAAGAAGATTTCCTTGAAAAATGTCAACAGGAAAATGTGATTTGACTTCAGATGCTTTGTTTTGGTGCAGGGTAGGATTTAATGAGTTGGAAGAAAGTTTGCCTTCCTAAGAGATGGGGTGGTTAAAAATCCCTATTGGGTAAATGAGGCTTGCCTTACAAATCTAGGATAAAAAAATTGAAATGAAAAGGAAAGTCTTTGAGTGCAAGTTGTTACTCACAAATACGTAAAAATGATAGTTGAATATAAAAGCTAAGAATAGAATATCTTGGGCTTTGAGAGGTATTCTCAATGATAGAACCCTTCTCAATAAGGGTATTGGCTGGATTGTTGGTGATGATGGGCAAATAAACTTTGGAAAAATAATTGGATAAATTCCACCTTTATTAATGAATTGATAAATAGAGACCCATCAAATGGTGATGAAGATCTTTGTGTATGTGAATTTATAAATCATGAAAGGAGAGTGTGGAGAGAGGACAAAGTGTTTAACCTTGTCCCTATTTAGGTTTGGAATAATATCAAGTCTATTTTCCTCCCATTGGACCCAATCGAGGAGAAGATGATTTGGAGACTAGATCTAAAAGGCAAATTCTATATTAAGGCTAAGTTTGGGAGCGCTTAAAAATAAGACTACATTTCAGGTCGGGACCACACTAATAAGCACTTATTTACATTTGGGAAATAAGTCCAAACTAAGCACTTCTTTAAGAAGCCCAAATTTTGGGCTTATTTTTAAGTGCTTATTCAATAAATGCTTATTTTCTTTTTTGCCTATCTTGATTTGCCACATCATTTTAAGAGTACCTATACTACCCCATATTTAAATTAAGTGTTTTTTCACCAAAAACTTGTAAGTGCTTATTAGAATAAGCGGTTGTTTTTATGCACTTATTTTCAAATAAGCATTCTCAAACTTAGCCTAAATTTTGCCTATAAAGAAGTGAGTGTGATATATAGGGGTATGGGAGGTCAAAATTTGGTTCTTAACAAGATTTAGGTTCTTAAGATCCCTCAAAGATTAAAACCTTTATATTTCTCCTCTTGAACTATTGGCTCCCCACTAAATCTTTCTTTTTGCTAGAGGTTCTCCAACTCCTATATATGGAGCTTGCTATTTTTTTAGTGGAAACGAGGACATTAACCATATTTTTAAAAATTGCTCTTTTGCAAAACATGTTTGGTTATCTATTATCTCTAGCACTCTAGGTCTGCAAGAAAATGATTCCTCAATATATGATTGGTGGACAAACTTAAAGTATGGTTCTAGTTTGGAGGGATCGATGGCCCATGAGAAATGTAGCTTTATTTTATGGTATCTCAGGAAGAACAAAAATGACAGAATATTTCACAACTAGTGCTGCTCCCTATTGATTTTAGTAAATCAAGTCCTCTAAATTACTTCTTAGAATACATTGCTATTACTTAGAAAAGCCCAAGAGAGGGTGTTATTAAAATAAACTTTGATGCCTTAAGAAATGGGAACGAGGATGCTCTATTACATGCATTGTGAGGAACCATTTGGGAGAATCCTTGATGTAAAAGCTTACCATATTGGTACCACAATTAGTGTTGTTGAAGCTTGGGCGGCTTGCGAAGCCCATAATATTGCTTTAAATTTTAGATTTTTCCTATTAGCATTGAAGGTGATTCTCTTCTCATGATCTCTTGCCTAAAGAAGTACATTGAAGTCCCTTGGAGGTTAAAGCCCATTATTAAAGACTATTTGAAGGTGACTGACTTTTTGGATTGAGGCACATTCACTCTTTCAAAGAAGAAAATAAAGCTACAGGTTGATTGGCAAATTAAACTCTTTCTCCCTCTTAAGCCCCTTCTTCCTTTAATCCATTTTTCTCTCCCTAGTGTTTATTTATTTATTTGTCTAAGTGATTTTTGGGGCCGAGCTACCCCTATATTTTGTAGCTCTTCTTAGTATTACCAAAAAAATCACGTAAATAGGTTGGAAAATCGTATTGCCCATATGCTACCCCTATATTTTTTGATAAACCCTCTTTTTCATAGTTGTTGACCTTAGTCAAGACTTGAATAGAACCATAATTTCTTGGTGCAATTTTCTCTGTAATAAAAATGAAAAATTCCCGATTAGTACCCTATACTTTGTCTCGGGTGACAATTTGGTCCCCGAACTTTAAAATGCACAATCCAATACCCAAGCTTTCTAAATGTGGCAACCTAGTACCTGCTGTTAACCAACCGTTAAGTGACATGTGAAAAGGCACAAATGCCCTTCAAGTGTCATCTATTTTTCTTCATCAACCATCTGCTAAAATCATAACCAGCCGTCAAATTTTTAATCCCTGCAACAACACTTTTGTTTTCTTCTCTTTTGAATATTCCGTTATCTTTGGACCAAAACCAAAGCAGTTTTTGGGAGAAAAGTTATCCTTTAACTACTGTAATTATCTTATCCGAAAAACAGAAAAAGAGAAGAGTCTTTGGCCACCATTATTGATCTTTTTCTCTCTCTTAAGTATCAAGACAAAGCTTCCAATTCTTCTCCTCTCTTTTACCTGTAGAAATAAAGTATTACTATGTTAAGTTAAAAAAATAAAAATAAGTTGTATGGCAAAGACTTGCAACGACTTTGCAAGAAAGGCAAAGTCATTGCAAGTGTTTGTGATAGAGAGCTTAGGCTTTGTTGCAAAGGTTTTGGTGTTTGTGACAGAGAGCTTGGGCTCTGTTTCATCTTCTTGAGGAAGAAGATGATGAATATTGTGTTTTATTTTCAAGGGTAATTTTGATATTTTGAAAATTCTTAAATAACACATGAGGTCATGTGATATACATAATTGACAATCCATTAGTAGCAGGTACTAGATTGTTGTGTTTCATAAGTTTGGGTATTGAATTATTGCATTTTAAAGTTCGGGAACCAAATTATCACTTAAGCAAAAGTACATGTACTGATTGAGAACTTTCACGGGTAAAAATGGGTATATGATTATCTAAATGTATTCAACATACCCATAGGTTTAGTTATGCAAATTTTGAACCTGAGCCTAATTGGGTACGACACTAGTCTTTAGATTCAAGACCCATCAGGAATCGAGTCCAATGGTCCAACCCCCAATATCTATATCTATATAAATATATTAAGCTGAAATGTGTACATAAGAAGGTGTGAGGATGAGGGAAATGGAATCTAACAATATTTCTTTTGCCTTTTTTTCATAGAAGTTACAAGAATGCCACTCTCTACCAATTCTTTCTCTTTTGCTTTTTTTTTTCCTTTTAAATTACAAGAATACCACTCTCTCCTACCAACTCTCTCTCTCTCTCTCACTCTCTTATTTTTTTTTTCTTTCAAATTATAAGAATGCCACTCTATTTTTCTTACAAATTACAAGAATGCCATCTCTCTCCAACTAAGGGAGACCTCAGCTCGGCATTCGGCTACTAGGAGACCTGCAATCAAAGGTAGTCAAGTTCGATCCGAGCCGAGCTCGAACTTCTAAACTTAAGCTCAAGTCTCTAATTCGAATCGAGCTCGAACTAGACGTCACCTCGACCATTGAGGGAGACCTCGGCTCGGAACTTCAGTTACTGAGGAAGATCTCGGGTCAGCACCTTGACAATTGAGGGAGACCTCGGCTCGACACTTCGGTCACTAAGGGAGATCTCGGCTCAACACCTCGACAACTGAGGGAGATCTTAGCTCGACACCTTGTCAACTAAGGGAGACCTTAGCTCGACACCTCGCCTATTAGGGAAACCTCATCTTGACACTTCAGCAGTTGAGGAGACCTCGATTTGTCACCTCGACAATTGAGGGAGACCTCAGCTCGGAACCTCGGTTGCGTGAGACTTGAGATACCTGCAATCAAAGGTAGCCGAGCTCGAACTTCCGAGATTTTGACTCGAGCCAAGCTCGAGCTCAAGCTCAAGTCTCTAATTCGAATCGAGCTCGGGCCTGATAATTTATGAGTGAGCCCCTACAACGCAGGGCCCCCTCCGCTAGTAAATATATTACGCTGAAATGTGTACTTAAGAAGGCCTAAGGATGAGGGAAATGGAATCTAATAGTATTTTTTGCCTTTTTTCTTTCAAATTACAGGAATGCCACTTTCTCTCCTACCAACTCTCTCTCTCTCTCTCTCTTTTCTTACAAATTACAAGAATGCCATCTTTCTCTCCTTATAAATTACAAGATTTCCACTCTCTCTTTCTCCAACTGAGGGAGACCTCATCTTGGCATCTCGACTGCTAGGAAACCTACAATCAAAGGTAGTCAAGTTCAAGCCGAGCTGAGCTTGAACTTTTGAAATCAAGCTCAAGTCTCTAATTCGAATCGAGCTTGATCTAGACGACACCTCGACCACTGAAGGAGACCTCGGCTTGGCACTTCGGTCACTAAGGAAGATCTCGGCTCAGCACCTCGACAATTGAGGGAAACATCAGCTCAACACCTTGTTAACTAAGGGAGACCTTAGCTTGACACCTGCCTGTTAGGGAAACCTCAGCTCGACACTTTAGCAACTGAGGGAGACCTCGGTTGTTTGAGAGACATGCAATTAAAAGTAGTCAAACTCGAACTTCTGAGCTTTTGATTCGAGTAGAGCTCGAACTCAAACTTAAATCTCTAATTCGAATCAAACTTAAGTTTGATAGTTTATGAGTGAGCCCTTGCAACACAGGGCCCCCTCCGCTAGTATAAGAATAAGATAAGATGTAAATGTAATAGAACAAAACTTTTTTCCTCCTATTATTATATTTTAGGAATGAAATAAAAATCTAAAATCATATATTATAAAAATGTATTTGTGTGTCGCATTTTATCAAAAAAAGTATTTATTCTGTTACATAAAAGTAAAACCATACATGGACCTGTACCACTCCCCTACGCGTTGACATGACCAAGATGTATCAATAAACTCAAGGGGCAAATTGGAGATTTCCCTCTCCATTGGGTATATGTGAGGTAGGCAGGGATAAGACACTGGTTTTTAATATACTCCTCTTTCTCTCTCATCGGTTCCGATGGGATGTGAAGTTCCAAAGCTCTCTGCAAGTTTGATTCTTTCCAATGGCCTCTGTTTCCTCTCCTTCCTGTCAAGCGCGCTCCCTCCTGATCCTCGCTCCACTCTTGCAAGGATGAAAAGTTTCTACTCTCCCTCAGAGCAACCTCATTGTTACCAGCCTTGTTTTATAACCACTAACACCTCCCTCTGTTCCAAATTCTCTGCGTTGTTCTAGCCTGATACTCCGATTTTGTTTTTCTCCGTCGACACTCTTAGCAAGCCCCGTTAGTATGACCTCTAGTGCCTTCAAACTGAGAAACCCTGTACTCCTTTGACCAAGATGGTTTTGGTTTTGGGATCCCAATTTTGTCTTTGCAGGACATTTGTGCATTCTTGTTAGGATTGCTGGAGGCACAGGTGTCTGCTGCTGCTCGGGATTTTTTCTTCCAGCTTCACCGGAGAATCAACTGCTTTCATTAGGATCTCCAGGATATAGGGTTTATGAACATCCTGAATAGGGTTTATGAACACCTTCTTCTGATCCTGAGGTGCCCCTAGGGTTTTTGTCCTCCTAAAGCTGACGTTCTTGTTCCCATTTTGTGTATGTTTCCCCCTAGCTTTAGTTTTATGGAAATCAAATACTCTTTCATGTAGGATTATTCTGAATTGTTTGGGAGGTTCTAACTTTGAGAACAAGTGGGTCGGTAGGCCTCTTTTATTAGGCATCCTTGGCTCTGTGATCAAGGGCTTTGTGTAGCTTGGAATGTTCCGGTGACACCCTTTTGGCTTTGGGGGGGCTCTTGGCGAAGATGTCTACAGATGGCCACGGTTTCGTGGAATGGAAGGAGCAGTTTGTTTCACAGGAGCGCGGAAGCCGGGTGGTCCACTACTTCTTGAAGGATGTAGCTGGGAATTCCGTCCTTGCTGTTGTCGGCACCGAGAGGAGCCTTAGACACATGGTCTATGTCGTCTCCAGTGATTTCTTGTTGGGTTTTCGGTCTCAGAACTCCACCAACACTTGTTTCAAATGGAGATCGAGAAGAGAGGTGGTCGACTGGCTTACATCCATGCTCGTAAAGAAGCAACCTTCTGCAGATTCTTCGAGTATGTTCTTCTTGACCTGATTGTTTATCTGTTGGATTTCATGATCACAAGCTTTACTTAGACTTTCTATTGTTAGTTCTTGTTCATTGTTTTTGCAATTTCCAAATATGCGTGAAATCCAAAACTTGGAAAATCTTATGCAATCAGAATGAAGTTATGGGGAGCTGCAAATACCATTTAACTGTGAAGTTACTGGCCACTAAGCTTTATTTCTTACGTGATTGTGAAGTTTAAGACCCACTGCCATAAGGCCCATAAATTATAAAGGCCTTTAACGGGAGAGAAAATTCTTTATAGATTGCTAGCTAGATCCATCTCTGTCTGACCTTTATCCATGTGGTGACCTGTGAGGGACGATTAAGCCTATCCAGACCATATATTCACGACCAACTGGGTTTCAAGTCATTGAAAAACATGGTTAGTGCTCCTGTTTTCCTCTAGAAATGTAGTGTACCTTGTTTTGAACTCCTAGTGATTTCAATCCTTGATGTTTTTTAAATGGAAAATTGACCGGGAAAAGGTATTTTTTTCCCTCAACGTGTCATTGTATTATGGGTCAAAACTTGTCATCTAGAGGTGAAGGTTAGGTGTGGAAAACGTCTGAGTCCTTCTTGTTCACTGTCTAAGCTAAATTTTGTTAGGCTGTTAGTAATTCCATATCTGTCATGTACACTCTCCACCCATTAAATCAGAATTTTACTATTATTAAACTGTTCAGACCAATTTGACCAGACCAACAAGGGGAGAGAAAGCATGGTGGCATTACATACACGTGTGCGCACACATGCATTTGGGCAATTTTTTAATAAAATTTTGAACCAAGATAAAATTAAATTGACTAGCATAGTTTAGCATTTGATCTAGTAGTGAAAAGGAAAAAAATGAAAAACTTAACCTCGGAAGACTTAATTATCCAAGGTGACTTTAAAACGTTAAGGAGAAGAGAAGTTGGTGGGGAAAGGCTTAAGAAAATCATTAATTTTTTAAGGAGTATTAATTTTCTAAGAAATAGAGGAAGGATCATTATGGGGAAATGTCTTCTCTACAAAAGGAATTAGTTATGGGATATAGTAGAGGAATTAATGGGAATTAGCTGAGGCCCATTTCCCTAAAGGTTGAAATCAAACCACACTTTTAACTATTAATCAAGGAACTGCTCTCACAACTCATGGACGATTTGGTCCATTTACAGGATGGGGCCTTAGAAGTTTCCCTTCAAGTTTATTAATCAGTGCTGTTACTACATAAATTCAACCTTATCACCATTACACAAACTTATATACTAGTCATTGGTTATCTGTACACAGTTATATTAAAAGCAGAGATCATAATTCCTTTTTTTTTATTTTTGTTTATGGGAATCTTTTTTGTAAACACTGGGGGTTTGGTGGTATAGGCATTTTTTATGGACTGATGTAAATTCCCTGTGTGGAGCTTCTAGTTGTACAGTTTTTTTTTTTTTGCTTATTTATGAAATATGCTTTTACTCTTTCAAAAAAAAAGAAACTTATATAATGGTCATATCCAGTTGAAAGGCAAGTAATAAAATTTAAGCCACAAAATAAAACCAAGGGTTGAACATCAATTGGATTTTGTGTGAAAGTAAGATTCTAAAGTTTTGTTCTTTCATTGTGCTTCAAACAATTGTGTTCTCAGATCCTCTTCCAGTTTTTGTTCTGGGTATCCATATATTGTACCCTTATATGGGAGCCATTGCTTGGTGTAATGGTAAAATCTCGGGATGATAAGTGTTAGAATGCCTTGTTTTCACTTTGAGAGCAGCCACTTTGTGCCAAAAAAGCTCAAGGTTAGGTCTGTATCCAGTCTACCCCTCCCAAGACTCCAGATTGCTGGGAGCAACATTTGAAATGACCTTTTTTATATATTGTACTCTTCTCTTCAGTTGTGTGCAAACTTGGTGGCATTATTAACTAGGTTGAGGATTATATGGTCCTGTTACTGGATATGGCATTAAATAGAACGGAATGGTGAAACAGGGTTGATGTATCCGACCCCATATAGTTGAGAGGCTTAGATGACGATGATGACAATGATGATTATATGGTCCTGTTCCACTGCTATCTGCATATGTTGGCTATTTATGTCTTTGTTCCTTCCATTCCTGTCAAAGTTGTTTTGATGTAAACTTGTAAGTCTTGAAAGCTGTTTTAGATGGATTCACCAGGATCAAAACATGCCGTTTGTCCACAAATATAGGCACTAGGCATAGGTTCTTCCACGGACATGGAATTGATGGGGTATTCTTCACCTTGTGCTTGTTGTAAAATTGGGATGGGATGATTTAACAAATTGAGCAGTCCATTATATATATTAATCTAAAAAGAATAGGCATATTGAAGGTATGGACATTAGAAACAAGGATATGACTTTCCATTTCTTAAGATCCTTGATGCAAATATGGATGTGGGTACAGACATCCCATTTAATATTCTTGTACCATGCTTTTGTGTCTAGTTTTTGAAGCTGTGCCATTTCTCAACATTTATAACATGCCAAATTTAAAATTTTAATACATCTATAATTTTTATGGTATAATTTGTTAATAGTATACTACTTTACATATTTTAGAAGTGTTAATCCTGTAATGTAGAAGTATCCATACAGTATCCTGTGTTGTATCGGGTATGTATTGTGTTTGACACAGGTGCACTAGAAGAATTAGGCATGTACTGGCATCTAGGTATTATAGCAGGGCAGAAGGCAAATAGGCGAATGGGAGAAGATACCCCAGCTAAAATAAAGATTACCTGATTTACTGTATCTGTGCTATTTTCTCTTACACTTCTGCCTTCATTTCAGCTCTCATCTTCATTGTTATTCGTATTGTGTTGGACAGTAAACATTAAATCTTTTGTTTTGTATGAAAAGATATAGTATATCACAAGTAATAAAGTAATAAAGAATAGTGCCAGTTACATCTTTGCTCCCCAACCAGGAATTTGTTAGTTGTTGATAATAAAAGAAAAAAAAATATTAAAGGGAAAAAAGGAGTACAGAAGAAAAATGATAAGAAATCACCCTTAAAACACACATAACCCAACAAGAACATCCCAGCAATGAGCGCAGATTGACACCAAGCAGAACTTGTTGGTCCTGGCTATCTGGGTTCTTGGGAGGGGTAGACTGGATATGGATCTAAGCTCTGGCAATTTTTTTGCACAAAGTAGCTACTCTCAAACTTGAAACCACATTCTAAACTTCTAACAATTGTCAGCTTGGGTTTTTACCATTAGACCAAGCAATGGAGAATATTACAGATATTTTACATATATTGTATCATATTCTAAAACCTAAAATGGAATTTATTTGTATCCTTTGAGTTACTGAAACCTATTCTTTTGATATTTCCAAGTTTAACTCCTCATACCCATGTCAATTTCTAACAAGTATACACCTTCCTTGAAGAATTAATGATTTCTTTTGATTCTTTTGCCAATGTTAATGGAAACAAGAACTTTTTTACACCATTACTAGTTTCATATTCCATTTTCACTACATTACGTGTAGGTTTGGCTGGTAGGCTGAAAAAATTTATTCTTGATCTTTTGCTTAGGCATGTAATTATGCTATCTCACTGAACTCATTGAGCTTGAGGTTACTGTTTGTTTTCACAATTAGTTAAATTCACTGTTACTGATGAAAAAACTACTGTTTCTTGAGGTTATTTAGTTGCTTGGGGTTAAAGTTTCTAATTTTGTTATTGTGATTTGACAAGCACCATTATAATAGATAACTTGTTTAAATATTAATGTTGGCATACACATGTAAGGCCTTGTTCTTTTGTTCTGCTTTGCACATCTTGTAGAGAGATTGGGCCGAATGGGCCCTAGCCCATTAGTGTCTTTCTTATCAGTTCTTTTATGTTATGTTTTCTTATTGGGCCTTCAGTTTTTTTTTATGTTTTTTTTAAGTTTAGTGCTGATGTGGATGCCTACTTAAGGGCCTCCTTGTAATTTATGTAACTTAAGTATGTTTTGTAAAAGATAAGTATTGGGGAAAGAGGAGATATTTGAACTCTTCCTTTCTTTTTCTTTTCTTCTCCAGTCTTCTTCCTTCTCTGATTTCTTTTACTTTATTCTGAAATATTCTACTGATTTTATTAGTTTTGAATCACATCTTGGTAATAGAGCAGGTCTCTCTTCCCTTTCCTTGTTTTCTTTTTTTCCCGTACATCTTTTTTCTAATCGAAAGGTGTATGGAGAGATAAATTGCTGATTATTCAGAGATCTTGTTTGCTTACTTGGTAGAGGGTTTGGAGAGTCAGAATTTGGTCGAAGATTACCAAGAAAGTGGGACTGCAATTTTTTTCCCAAATGCTAGCCGACTAGAGAATTTCCAGTTACGGGTCGAAGAGGCTGTTTGGGTGTGGCGCTCAAGGCTTGGAGGGTTTCTTTTTAACTCCAAAAGTGGGCGGCTGCAGTTGGAAGTCATTTGGATAGCTTTGGTTTGAGCGGCTACCTCTTCTCTCTTTCTCCCCGGAGGCTAGGTACGGTGAAACCCTAGTTTTGGGGTGCTTGAGCGGGTGGCTGCAATTGGAAGTCGTTTGGATAGCTTTTGAGTGCTTGACTGACCTTAGTTAGGTTTATAAAGGTTAAAAACATTGTTTTTTGATTTTCGTTTGATTGATGGAGCAATCTGGGAGTGAGGTGAAGCAGATCCCGGTGTCGGGGGTTGGTCCCGTAGATTCCTTTTTTACAAGAGTGACTACAATTAAACTTGATGGAACAAATTACCTTGCGTGGGCACAATCCATTAAGATCCATTTTATAGTAGAGGTAAACTAGGGTTTCTAACGGGTAGTAAGGCGATGCTGGATGAGTCTGACCCTACATATGAGAAATGGATGCTGGATAACTACACAGTTATTGGGTGGTTGGTAAATTCTATGCAGCCCCATATAAGTCAACACTATCTGTGGATGACTTCAGCCAAGGAGATTTGGGATAGTATGACAGAGACATGTTCTCAGAAATTAAATG